AAAACAAACAAACCAAAAATTTTCCCAAATAATATGCAATAAAAATTCTCATACCTCAACATCTTCCTAACCAGCTTGCATAAGAATAGTAGGAATTGTTTGGGGTAGAGAGAAAAAGTTTAGTTCTAGAACCTCTGGAATTTCATTGGTCTGAGAACCAATTATTTAATGTGAATAATGTCTACTTACTGTGTGCAGACACTATGCTGTTTTATATGCATGTTTTAATTCAGCCCTTAAGACAAGTTAGTGAAGTATGTATTGTTTCCACTTTTATAGTCTTCATAAAAGAAAAAATATCAGGAGAGGATGGGCAAATGGTCCAGAAAAAGACAGGACTGCATGTGCCCCCAATCCCAGGCATACAAACAGCCCAATGTGCCTGTAAGAGCCTCAGATTAGAATCCTTGTTCCACCACATCTTATATCTTAAAGGAAGTTACTCCGTTTTCTTATCTATTAAATGGGAATGATGATGATAGTGCCTATCTTTCAGACTTGTGACAGGTTTCCAATAAGACCCTACACATAACCGACTTAGAACAGCACCTGCCAGACGGTAATATTCAATGACTGTCAGGCAGGGCTTTTACCTGGTCCAGCAACACCGCACGTTCCCACACACCAGAAGCATGCCTCCATCTGCATAGGTTTCAAGGATAATATATAGGCCAAGGACCAAAAATCCGGGACACTGAAAACACTTCATTCTTATTCCCTAAGTATAGGCCTTGATTCTCAAAGTGTAGTCCCTGGACCAGTAGTATCAGCATCATCTGGGAGCTTTTTAGAAATGTAGAGGGTCAGGTCCAGCACAGACCTTCGGAATCAGCTTGGCCATTTTAACAAGGCCCCCAGGTGATTAGTATATGCATTGAATTTGAAAAGCTCTGCTCTTAGGCACACAGAATAGCAATTCTCTCGGGCCCTTTGACATGCGTGCCCGGGGGCTTCTTAGTCCTCATATTTCAGGAGAACAGCCCAATGGCAGTGTCCACAATGGTCTAGGCTGCTGGGCCTTTCCCATTTTGCTTTTGTTAGTTCAGAATGTCCCTCGTTATCATCGATCTCTGAAAACCATTATTCAAGACTCAAGCATCATGGAGACTATTCCTATCTGCCCTACTACCCTACTACTCCTGTTTCTAGAGGGAATTAATCACTTCCACCTTTGTTTTGCCATTGAAGTTCAGACCAACGCTGCTCAAACTCCTTTGGTAGAAATGGAGAATTTTGATATTTTATAAAGACATGAATACACACACACACACACAAACACGTGCACACACACCCTGTATATTGATGAAATGAAAGCTTCATGAAAGAATACTTTCATTTAGAATGGACTCATATTTTTTCAACATTATTGTGTTCTATTTCAAGTATTAGCATGCTATATGGGTCATAACTGACAATTTGTAAAACCATGTACATTGCTATTTCTTTCAAAGGGACCACAACATTAGATCCATCATTTAGTTTCATGTCTATCACCAATTATAGGTGGAGAAGCCATGGTCCGAGACTGGCATATAAAGGGAGACAGCATTTTGCTGAATAACAATGAATGGACGAATGGAGCTTGCTTTCTTGGCCTGACACTACTCCACCCCTTATCTCCTCACTGCCATAATTAATAAAAAAATAATATGAGGGATTTATTATGTAATAATTTATTAACCATTAACCAAAACTACAAACCAATACACTGAGTCACTATGCTCTCCATAGGAATTTTTAAATGAAAAGTGGTTCTACAGAGTATTGTGTTGAATAAGAGGAAAGACAAAAATTGTGACTTTACAGAATCCTTTAGTTTTGCATATTTTTGGATCTTTTGCTATTGCCATTCATGCTGATATTTTCTTAGTCTTCCTATTGTAAATGAAATGGAGCTCGCGTAGCTGTAACTAAGAGCATTTAGAACACCCCGCGCCAGGGAGACGCCAGCCTGCCATCCGAACTTCTCCAGGGTACAGTGCCAGTTCACCTCCACTTTCTCTTTCAACACCTCTGCTCTTCCAGCATGAGATCTCTGATAGGGAAAATGATGACCAACCACATTCATTTATCATTTATATCCCCAGCTTGGGCAAGACACTCTAGTACATAAGGCAGGGCTGGAGTTTGACCTTCAGGGAGGTGTCAAGACCTTCAGTTCTGTTTTTGCAAGTCATACGACCCCTGCATGCTGCCCTCTTTCATTCATAAGGAGTGGGTAGAACACGCAAAGACCCAGAGAATACATTTGGAAGGACTAGCAATGTTTTCAGTCTTACCTGTCACCACAGCACAGCGATAAAAAAAAGCCACCTAATAATTCTTTCACTCCCTTGCAGCTTATTCTCAAATATTGCATTTATACATGACATTTGAGAGTTTGACTGTCTGGGTTTTAATCATGGCTCTGAGTAGCTAAGTGACATGCATGCCCCCTGCCAAATAGAGATAATAATAATAATACTTGCCTCTTAGAGTTTTTTTATGGGGAAAAATAAAATAGTACATATAACCTACTTAGGATTGTGCCTGGCACATAGTAAGAGTTTAGTAAATGCTGGCTATTTTCAAGACTATTATTATCCACAGAAACTGTATATACAGATAGTATTCCTTTTCTACCACATTTAGACACTTAAAATAATGGGGGAAAAATCTTCAAATTAAATGCTATACATGCTAAGTGCAGTATGGTATCCTGGATTGAATCCTGGAGCAAAAAAGGATGTTAGTGGAAAAACTGGTGCCATCTGAATACAGTCTGCAGCTTAGTTAATTTAGTACCAAAGCGAACGTCTTAGTTTTGAGCAGTGTACAAAGGTTATGTAAAATGTTGACACTAGGAAAACCGAGTGAAGACTGTACAGGAACTCTCTGTACTGTCTTTGCAACTATTCAGTAAATCTAAAATTATTCCAAAATAAAATGTCATTTTGTAAAAAATGCCACACATAGTTGCTGAGTATATGGTAACGACAACGTTGTGCTAGGCACCGTGGAAAATCAAGAGATAAGGAAAATATGACTGTCTTCCAAAATATGACTGTCTCACTCTGAGAACAGGACAGCAACGAGCTTACTATCAACTGGCCAGAATATAATAAATGTCTTAACGGAAGTGGAAATAAACTCTCGTCAGCCTGATATTAAGGACCAGCTTCAAAAAGACCCTTGTTCTCCAGGATGAAATGTGCGGGTAATAAACTGACCCAGCTTCACAGTTCCTGTCACCTCGAGTGGCTACTCTGCCTGGCTGGTATTAAAGAGGCGGGATGCCTCTGTGATAGAGGTGCTGCCTGATACCTGACTAATGCAGATATAAATTCTTTTTTAAAATCCTCACCTGAGAATATTTTCCCATTGATTGTTTTTTGGTTTTTGTTGGTTTTTTTTTAGAGAATGGAAGGGAGGGGGAGAGACAGGGAGAAACATCGATGTGAGAGAAACACATCCATTGGTTGCCTCCTGACCAGGGCTGGGACCAAGCCTGCAACTGTGGTACAAGCCCTTGACTGGAATCAAACCTGAGACCCTTCAGTCCTCAGGCTGACGCTAACCACTGAACAGAACTGGCTAGGGCTAATTTATTAATTTTTATAGGTTGTGGAATGCAGGAGAAAGGGCATGAACCTCATAAGCAAAACTGAGATCAAACCTAGTTTCTCACTAACCTGGGCAGGTTCACTGAATCTCATTTTCCTCTGTAAAATGGGGGGGAAATATTGAAGTTGCTGGCTATTATAATAATGAAATGATCACACGAGATAATGTCATAAAGACCCCTGGCCTACAATAGGCAGGCTTTATTATTATTGCTATCATTAGAAATTATCTGCTACGGATGTGCCCTGGCAACCATACTCAAGTACTTATTCAACTGGTAAGTATTCGTTTCACTTGTCTAAGACCTTACTTCAGAGGGTCTAGGACTGATTTACCAAAGGAGAGGGTGGCAGACCCCACTGGGAGAAGCTGACAAAGATTAAGGGTTAATTGCATAGGCTTTAGAGCCAATTGGCCTGGATTTAAATCCTGGCCTTCTACTTACCAGCTTCCTACCTGTGTGCCACGGGGAAATCAAGTTAACCTCTCACGCGTCTGTTTCCCTATGTGTAAGATGTGACAATAGAACCTACCTCATAGAGATATGTTATGAGGAATTCACACAGGTATAGTCTCTAGAACAGTGCTTGGCACATAGCTATCAATAAATAATAACTATCACTATTTGCTATTTTTATTATTCAATAACCATTTCCTCTTTTTGCTGGATGCTCAACATCCCCTTCTGTTCAAATAGGGGATGCAGGGGGCTCAGGGAATGGGGGACTCTTTCCTCCAGCACCAGGGGATGACCAGTGATCAGTATAAACTACTATAATAATCCCGTCTGTGCCCATTTAGGTGTGAGTGTGTGGTTGAAGTCTGGGCAATGGAAACTAAAGGAAAATATGCTGGTAGCTTCTAGGGAATCCTTTTTGTGTTTAAGGCTGTCATGAGGGGATGTGATGCAGCCATCAGGAGACCTATGGAGGGGCTGCCTCAGAGCCCAGCCATCAATGAGCTGCTGCACCACCTCCCTTTGGGCATCTTGATATGTGAGATGATAAGTGTCTGGATTTTCTCACTTTTAGTAGGTTTTCTTTTACTTGCAGCCAAAAGCAACCTAATATTGGAGGTCACTGGGAATGAGAGGCAAGCGTCACTATTCCCAGTATTATGGATGAGGAAGCTAAGTTTCAGGGAGATGAAAGTAATTTCCTACAGTCTTACACACCTGGTAAAGAGCAGAGAGTCAGAAGGGAGTGAATACAAGATTTTTATCTCTTCCCACTGAACTTTTCCTGGGTCCATTATTTTATTCAAAAAGTATTTATTGGGTCTATCAGACACTCTCATCAACCCTGTGACATTTCCTGGCTTCAGGGCTTGGGTGGAGCACCCAAAGGGCAGAGCGGGTGAGTGCACACCCAGAGGCAGCCCCAGCTGTGTGTGAATGCTTAGGCCTTCATCACATGCTCAGGGAACTGTCTGCCATGAGGGAACCAGGGACAAGTCTTTGATAAGATAAAGTATTTCCAAGAGGTCTGAGTTGAGAATTTTGTTTCCCACATATTTGAAAAACCAGAGTCTACAGCTGTTTAGTAATTCATTATTAAAACTAATACCAGTCTGACGAGATACTTGATTTGATGCCAACATGCCTTTGGAACATAAACAGACCGGACCAGATAGGAACGAACCAGAGTCACCAATAGTAAGCTCTTTTTTTTTCCTGCCTCAGTTTGGAGTGTTTCCTTGTATCTCTATGTTTAAGAATAACTTAGATCCTCCAGCCTACTTATAGCTTCTCATCTTTTTTAGTCATTCTTTTATTTATGTTATCATTGATCCTCTGAACTCTTTTTTCAGGCTTAGCATCATTATTTTCAGAACTGTGGCTGAGGAAACAACATTTCAGAGAAGTCACAGCGATTTTCCAGAGACATACAGCTGGTCAAGTCTAGATCAGGGTTCAAACTTGAGTCATTCAAACTCCAAAGGCTGCACTTGTCCCACATGGCCTCATGGTGCTCTCTCTGCATTGAGTATAGCAAAGAGAGGGAGTTTGGGGGAGGAAACTTTTGAAATCCTGGGGTTGGAGTGAGAGGTCTGAGGATGGAGGGACGCTCAGGCGTAGATGTAACCCGCACAGGCTCTTCCGTAGAAATGAGAAAGATGGGTGGAGGATGGGAAAGAAGTGAGTCTGAGAGGGGCCTCCACGAGGAGCCGCAAGCTAAGGCAGGTCTCCGCAGTGAACCTAGCTGACCACAGTCGCCGTTGGCTGCTATGGAGAAAGGATGAGCCAGTTTTGTTCTGAGGGAAGAAAGAGGACAAGGTGGAAGGATACATCAGAGACCGGGCCTTGTTACCAGCGCTCAGGTCCCACGTGTCCAAAGACATGAATTCTATGGCCAACATAAGTCAGTTGCTAGCACCTACGAAGCAGATTTTTCATAAATTCTTCCTTTTCAGCGCCTCTTGAAAAAAAAAATCAGAATATCTGGTTCTAGTTTTTTTGAACTCTCACTTCCAGAGTGACAGGTAATCTGAGCTGAAAAATGACCCCCCTCTCCAGCCTTCCATCCGGTTTCACTCTCAGCCTGCTTCCCGGATTCACAATACATACCTGCCTGGACCCTATTGTCATTTTATTTTATTTTATCTTTTCCCTACCTTTAATAAACAGCAAAATATTAGCGGCAGATAACTTTGGATAGTGAAGTTGTTCCTGATTTTTAAAAAAATCAACAAATGAGCTAACTGCATTTTCTAAATGTCCTCCAATTATTGTGTTGCTTTTATAATAAAAGAAAATGTGAATGTTATTTCTATAACGACCAATTCCACAGATATTAAGAGAGGTGTTGTGGCTTGGCAGGAGTCCTTGTGTAAAGATCCAAGGGTTTGAGTGAAGTCAGGCTCAATGTGAGCCAAGACCATGACACAGTAGCTAGAAAACAAAACAGGGCATAGCAAAATCCTGGCCAATCACTGAGGGCCACGGCCTCATGGCACGCTGCGTGGGTCAGGCCTCATGGAGCATAAGCCACATTTTATTGGAGAAAACAATAAACTAGAAAGAGTTTGTTGCTGGGAAACCAAGATGGAAGGAGTCTAGAAGTCAAGTTATGTGAGAGATAGGAGAAAATAGACATTTTTAGCTTGGGCTATTTTTTTTTTTTTTAAACAGGGTTTGGAAAGATGAAATGTGGTCAAAACAGCCTTCCCCAGTGTTGATGTAACAGGCAGGGAAAGCCCCAGTAAGAATAATGGGAAGTTTGGGAGGAGGAGAGATTTTTAACCATTTGAGTGCCAACCAATATCCTAGGAACTATGCTAAAATTGTCAAGGCATTTTTGCTGATTTTACAGCAGTTTAGGAAAAAAAAAATTATGAATCGCAAGTAAATGAAGTTACATATTTAAAAACTTAAGGAAACCTTTACTACATTTGTTTTCATCTTCGACATATATTGTTTGCTGATTGTATTCTAAAATACTAGAAGAAAAAAATTTGAACAAAACATATAATGCTAAAATAAAATTCATGTTGGCTTTGAATGCATGAATGAAGATATTGCGAAAGACAGGAGGAGTGCGATCGCGCTCCCCCGTACTCTATGGGTTAAATGTGAATTTATGCAACATGGCTCTGCCTTGTGAACTGGAAAGCTCCCACTTCAGGGCAGAAATGGTCTGGCAGCCCATTTTAGGTAGAAGTTTGTACCAAATGACCTCAGTGCACCCCCCAGGCCCGAGGTCCTCTCTTCCTCTGCTCAGGACTGTTCACAACCACCCAGGTGCAGATCACCAGGGATGCCAAGAAGATTTAATAACAGAAAGACATGACTCAGGACTGCTAATGGCTAATTTGCCTCCATTTCCCCAAAGTAATATTCCCTTGTGAGACAAAAAAACAAAGTATTTTCCAGCAATTGAAATAAGCAGAAGGTACATTAGCCATATGTCTGTTGAAACATGGAAATGTCCTCAACATACCTATTGCAGAATGACTCAGAGAGATCACGGGTTTAAGGTCGAGTTTATAATATTTCCAGGAAAACAATGGTCTCAAGCTTAGATAGCAGTGGGCACTTGCTTCGATGGTCAGAATTCTGATTTCATTTTCTTATTTAAATGTAACCATAGAACCTTGTACTTTTAAGATGCTGGTCTCTATAGCCAACTAGTCTGTCCTTACATGAACACAGAACTCAACGTTTTCCCAAAGGATTATGCTCCTTCAGATGGAGGAAAGTGGATCATATCTGAGATGTCCCTGCTAACATTCCTAGTCTAAGCAATTTTTCTGGTGAAGCATCGAAGAGATAAAAATGTTGGAACCCTCAGTGGTAGTGTGATGAGATGAGTGGCACCATGGGGAGGGTTTGCCACAGGGACAAGCACCTGAAGCTGCAGTTTTAAGATACCTGGGAGCAGGCGGCTAAGGGAGAGTTGTCAATCAAGCTTGCAGGGGAGCAGTGTCTTATTTAGAGGTTCTTACCCACACACACTCTGAGCACACACACTCCTCTTAATATAAAAGGTGGGTAGAGGAGTAGCTATTAACTTTTGGATTCGTTAGCACTGAGTTCGAGAATTTACATAGCAGCAGTGCCTAGCTATGCTCCCTCTTCACTTCTGCATCTATTTCTGCCCTGCTCTGTGCTCTGGCAGCATCCCATACTGACTGGTTCCTGGTTCTCAGTGGGAGGCACCAGAAAAAGATCAGGGCATGGAAAAGGTAAATAAAGGGCCCCCGTCCCATTCCAGGCTCCCTCTCCGCTCTGCGTTGTTGGCAGTGGCAATGTACCTCCATCAGTACTGCTCCTGTCAGTCGGCCTCTCTCCTCTTGGGATCCAGCTCTTGCCCCTCAGACTCCAATTGGCCCTGCTGTGCCTGGATTCCCAGCTCCTCACCAGCCTTGGCTGGTTCCCTTAACAGTGTCTGCACCTCTATAAATTATTTCGTCATTGGTCTCTAACTACCTGAGCTAGATCCTGTTTCCTGCCAGATTCTGGCTGATATAGTTGCTCCCTGGCTGTGTGACCTTTATTATTTTGAGCCTTAGATATGCCATTTGTGAAAATGAGAGCAAAATTGGTATTATCATATGGTGGCTGGGTCTCTGCCCTATCTCTTATTTTAAAAGCACCTTCATTTGGGAAGAGAGAGGAAAAAAACTACAGTGTGTTGAGCATGTGACTGAGAAGGTATCCAGGACATGGTCAATAAGAGCATCCAATCACTTGGCAACAGTGATTGGATCCAGGAAAATCACATGACCCAATCAGAGCCAATGAGATACTGTCTACATTTTAGGTCTATGGAGCAAAGGGGTTCTTTCCCCCTAGACTTGGAACCGCTGGAGGTCACAATGTAGAGAGCGCCAGTCTGAGAGTAGCCGGCAAATCAAAGAGAACCAAGATGAAGAGAGACAGGTTGCCAAAGAGCTTGATTGGACCCCTGGATGTAGCCATGCCTGCACACCACCAACTGGGCTTTTTTTGTTTGTTTGTTTTAAGCCAACAAATTCTCTCTTTTTGCTCAATAAATTGTGAAATTGTATTTTGTGTCATTTGCCATAAAGAGTCCTAACTGATAGAAAATTACATACTTTATAGATTTTCAATGAGGATTAGAACTAAGATGTATATTCACTTCTATCCTTGCAGAGTTCAGTATCATTATTTCAAAGGTACAGAGACATATTCACTGTAAGAAGCAACTGTACCACAAACATTTTGGGTAAAAAAAATACTGTGGAAATAATCTGTATTTGAAAGACAAGTATTAGAGTTCCCCAAGGTAGAAAAAGAACCATCGTCATCTCCTGGGTGGCCTCGTTTTGCAATCCTAGATCTGAAATTGTGACATAATCTGGTCTGAGATTCTGTAATCACCAGACCAAGAAGCTCTAGGCAAGATTAACATGCTCATTAGGAGAATGGGCCTAAGTACTCTAATTTCTAGAATGTCCAGGTAAGAGTGTTAAGGAAGCATGTTATTTTGTAGTAGCATCTCAGTGATATCCCTGATAGTTGTGGGCAATTGGAGAAAGTTGCCACCAGTGTTGCAAAGACTAAGTCTCTCTTCCAAGTCATCAGACCATTCCATCGAACATATTCTCTCCCCTACTTTCCTAGTTTTCTTCCTAGGTGTTTCCTTTACAGGAGGGAGAGCCGGAGGGGGACAGAGGCAGCTTGGCTTCATCTTCATATCATTTTCTTTCTTTATTCTTTCATTCATTCAACCATTCATTCAAAAGCATTTACTTATTATCCACCACCTACCAAGCACGGTGATAGACACTGGAGCTACACAGTAAAAAAGAAGCATGGGTCCTAATGTTCATTACCTGGGGGGGAAGGCCAAGGTCAATGAGTCAATTAATCATTTTAATTGCAAGACAGGAGTTTTGCACTCAGAAACCATTTTTAGAATTGAATTGTTTTGAATTAAATTGAAGAGTGGGTTCTGTTTCTAAAAGGTGGAAGGCCTGGTTTTATCCATGTTTTCAAGTGGGGGCAGGGTATGTGTGTTCCCAAGCAGCTGGACACTTGAGACCAGAGGAAAGCATCTATTTAGCAAAGCTAATTCTGGAGTTACACACAGACAGAGGATAGCTGGCAGCCAAGAGTGAGAACTGGATCTCTGAGGCAAAGAGTTCAGAAGAGAGAGCAAAGAAAACCACCTTGCAGGTCAAGAGCACAGATAGTAGTAGCATTAGGATGGGAGAGGGGACTCATATGTCTTGGAAATTGTCTTCACACAAAACATGTGGTTTTTACACAGCCAAATATACATTCATTTGATTTATGGATCAGAATTTAAGTAAACTGATATTATTAACTTCTGACATTTCTAGCATATTTTTGGTGAATACACACACACACACACACACATACACACACACACACACACACACACACTAGAGGCCCGGTGCACAAATTCGTGCACCAGTGGGCTCCCTTGGCCTGGCCTGTAGGATAGGGCGAAACCAGCTCTCCGACATCCCCTCGAGGGGTCCTGAATTGCGAGAGGGTGCAGGTCAGGCCAAGGGACCCCAATGGTGCACAGTGGGGGCCAGGGAGGGATGTGGGAGGTTGGCCAGCCAGGGAGGGACCGTGGGAGGGCTCCAGGGTGTGTCCAGCCTATCTTGGTCAGTCCCTATGGGCCAGACTCCAGCAACAAGCTAACCCACCAGTCGAAGCGTCCGCCCCCTGATGGTCAGTGCACATCATAGCTAGTGGTCGACCGGTTGACTGTCTGCCTCCTGGTGGTCAGTGCACATCATAGCGACTGGTTGACTGGTTGACTATCTGCCCCCTGCTGGTCAGTGCACAGTTGAGTGGCCTTATCATATCATTAGCATATTACACTTTGATTGGTTGAACGGCTGACCAGTCGACTGGGCACTTAGCATATTAGGCTTTTATTATATAGAATATATATTGATATAATCCTATATATCTTATGTAGGATAGATATATAGATATATTTTTAAGTTGGAAATTGGAGTGTTGGAACTTTTGTCCTTTACTTACCCCACCTTCCACCTCAGCTGAAAATTCCCCTTCCTCTGAACCTCAAGGTACAGAAAGGGGAGGGAATTTCCAAGGCTCCAGAATGCTAGACAGTGAGTGGCTCAGGGAGCACTACTGAGAGGAGGCTCAGGCAGTTGGTGTAAATATAAACCTGGGCTTCATCTGCACAGCTAGACAGTCAACCCACAGCCCTTCATGTGTTCATACAAAGTCTTTCAAACCCATAGTTCCCATAAGTCTATGCACTGACAATTGCTGACATTTATGCTCTTTTGCCATTTAGAGTGTTTTTATTTTTTTCCTGTGTGATTTCACTTAAGTGTTTGGGCATCTGGTAGTGGGGTGGCATGGAAGGGGCCAATGCAAGCTGCTTTTTCTTCAGCTCTTCACACACACACACACACACACACACACACACACACACACACATACACACACACTAGTCCAGGACCTCCCTACCTGCTGACTGCCTGTTTCATCCAGGGGTATCCACAACAGGCACAGAGAGCTGAGCCTTGGAAGACCATAAAAACATTAATAATGGATGGATGGATGGATGGATGGAAGAATGGATGGATGGATGGATGGATGATGATGATAGTGCTAACCCATACTGAGAGCACAGTTTGGTATGCCAGACCCTTTTCTGAGCACTTTACATGTAATCTTCACTAGAACTCAGGTACTACAGGGAGGTACAACCAAGAGGAAACAGAGGCACCCAGGGGTTAATGACTTCCTGAGGCTACAGAATTGGGAAAGTGGCAGGATTGGCCCAAAGGAACCTGGCTCCTGAGCCATGCATGGAGCCCAAATCCACACCAGTGTTCCTACTGCCACCTCCTCCTCTCCACCCCCTTACGCCGTCCGCACTAGGTTCTCCTTCCCCTGCAAACACCACTCCAGAGCTCTTCCTCTGTGGCTGGGTGACCACCCATGTTCCTCCCTGGCAAGGACACCCTTACACTGGGACGAGACTCTCCAACAGCTTGAGGAACGCACTTGCCTCTGTCAGGTCCTGGCTAAATTTGTAAGAACATTCAAAGCATGAGCTCAAAATCTCCTTGTTCTTGGAATAAAGTACAACTATTTCTTTTTCTATAAATACCCATGAAATAAAAAATGAGGGACAATAATTTGATACTTTATTTTATAAAATTAAGTAATCAAATTCCTCCTAAAAGGAGAACATAACTAGATTTTAAAATGTCCTTAATACTATTTTTAGCCCTTTAAAAGCTCTCTGCACAATCTCTTGACATTTTCTAATTTTACTGTTTGAATATTTAGAGTAGAAAATTACATTTTCCTCATGTTTCATTCTCTTCATTGACTCATATGAAAGAATTTATTACTTCAAATGCCAAATCTGCCTTATTGGTTTAGTTGTTTTTCACGTAATACTAGAACATCTCAAAATTTTCATATACATATTTTATTATATTAAAAACTAGTGGCCCCAGTGCACAAATATCGTGCACGGGGGCGGGGTAGGGGGGAGAGTGTCCCTCAGCCCGGCCTGCACCCTTTCCAATCTGGGACCCCTGGAAGGATGTCCTACTGCCGGTTTACAGGTATTGGGCCTAAATTGGCAGTCGAGCATCCCTCTCGCAATCCAGGACTGCTGGCTAACTACTCACCTGGCTGCCTGTCTGATTGCCCCTAACCACTTTGCCTGCCAGCCTGCTTGCCCCCAACTGCCCCTGCCACCAGCCTGCTCACCCCCAAATGCCCCCCCGCCAGCCTGCTCACCCCAACTGCCCCCCTGCCAGCCTGCTTGCCCCCAACTGCCACCCCTGTTGGCCTGCTCACTCCAAACTGCCCCCCACAGTCCTGATCACCCCCAACTGGCTCCCCTGCTGGTCTGCTCACCCCCAATGGCCTCCCCACACCAGCCTGATCACCCACAACTGCCATCTTATCCTGGCATGATTAACCACAACTGCCCTCTCCTCTTGGACTCTATAACTGCCTCTACTTTGGCCCTGCCACCATGGCTTTGTCCAGAAGAATGTCTGGAAGGTCTCCTGGTAGATCTCCCAGTCTAATTAGCATATTACCCTTTTATTAGTATAGAGGCCTGGTGCATGGGTGGGGACCGGCTGGTTTGCCCTGAAGGGTGTCCCAGATCAGGGTGGGGGTTCCCTTGGGGCATTGGGCAGCCTAGGCGAGGGGCCTGTGGTGGTTTGCAGGTCGGCCACACCACCCTTGGGTGAGGGTCCCTGCTGGGTTGCCTGGACAGCCTGGGTGAGGGGATGATGCCTGTTTGCAGGCATGCCAGGCCCCCCGTACACCCAGGTCCCCAGCCACTCCTTCAGCTGCGGCTAGAGAAGGCGGGAAGCTTAGCTTCCTCCATTGCCGGGTCAACCCAAGCCTCCAGCTCTGTGGCCACCGCCATCTTTGTTGGGTTAATTTGCATACTCACCCTGATTGGCTGGTGGGTGTAGTGGAGGGATGGTCAATTTGCATGTTTCCCTTTTATTAGTGTAGATGTTGTAAATACTGAAAGCAAGTTTATAAAGTTCTCTATGGTGTGATACCATTTCTTAATTTAAAAAGTTAAGAAATATATGAATATATACAAAAAAAGAGAAAGAAACAAATTGAAAAAGATGTATATCAGAATATTAACAGGGATTATATCTGAGAACTTCATATGTGAGCATTGAGAATATGGAAAAATTTTAATTTCTTATTTTTCCTTACACCTATTTTCTAAATTTTCTGTATTACTTTTACAATGAAAAAAGACCCCTACTCTTCTTTACAATAAAAACTAACATTTGAGTGACAGGCACTATTCTAGGTGCTTTACAAGTATTCACTTGTTTTAATTCTCACCTGAACTCTTTGAAGTGGGCACTGCTGTTATCCTCACTTTACAAACGAGAAGAGTGAGGCAGAGAGCAGTTCCATGGGCCACGCAGCTGGGTTTCAGGCCTGTGCTT